CCTATTTCACTCAGTAAGACTATTCTGTACATTGTGTTACGTTACTTTGTCATGTGTGTCTCAGTAAGAAAAGTGGTGAAATCTAATTCCTCAGTAAGTGACCAAAACTTTTCATTAGATATAAATGATTAGTGTTAGCAGTGATAGACAAAAATAAAACTTTTTAACAGTGAACTGTTATAATTGAGCCTCTTTCCCATCAACTCAGTAAGTACTAAATAGTTATCACCTGAATAATAATATAGGTTTTTTTTATTAACTTCATTGCTTATATAGATCTATTTCTATTTATTTATTAACTGCAAGATCAGTTTTCTTATCTGTTCTTATTTTCCCCCCTGCTATTCTTCATTAAGTGCAAATAATTAAGTGGCATTATAGAATTAAAATTAAAATTTATCAGCAAAACCAACATACAGACATTGAATTAAACTTTTCAGATGCTACAGGGAAACTTGGGCCTCTTTCTGTGAATATTACTTCAAAAATATATTATGGAATATTTTAATCATATGCCAAAGTGGGGAGAAGAATATGATAAATTCCTGTGTACTCATTACTTCAACAATTATCAATACTTCACTGTTTATCATATATCTACCCCACTTATATTTCTTTTTGTTTTTAATGTTTGACTTTTTTAAGTGCTGGGGTATTTTAAAACAAATCCCAGACACTCTTATCATTACACCTACAAATATTATAGTGTGTCACTAACAGTTAAAGATTTAAAAAAAAACAGAATCACAATACTATTATAATATTCAACTAAAGTAAAAGCAATTTCTTAACAACATTTAATACATAGAATTTTTCTAAAATACCGAAAAATAAAATACCTTTTAATAATTGGTTTATTCAAGTCAGGGTTAAGAAAAGTCTAAGTATTATATTTGGTTGTTAGACCTCTTAATTTTATTTAATCCATAATAGTACTCGCCCCTCTTATTTTATTCCCCCACATACCACTTATTTGTTAAAGAAACTGAATCATGTGAGCTTTAGAATTTCTTGTATTCTTGATTTAGCTGATTTTATTTTCTCATAATGTCATTTAATGTAATCTTTTATCCATATTTCCTGGTAGTTAAATTCAGAGTCATTTAAAAAAAATAAGTTTTCAATTACAGTTGACATATAATATTATACTAGTTTCAGATGTACAACCAAGTGATTAGACATGTATATAACTTACAGAGTGATCACCTTCATAAATCTAGTGCTTGATTTTAGATTCAGTCTCCTTTTGGGGAGCGCAAAAGGAAAGGTGCAGGAATACTTCATAGGTGGTCTGATTGCAAAATATTGAGAGGCAGTTAATGTGTAGTTGTCATACTTTTGGTGGTGTTAAAATTGTTCAGTGAATTCAGGTGCTATCAACCTGATTATTAATTATAAAGTTTCCTGTCAACATTTTACCTCATGGCTCTAGCAGCCATTGATAGTCATTGCCTAGATTTCATTAGGATTTGTCAAATGGTGATTTTTCTAATTGTGTCATTTCTTCTGCATTTATTAACTGATTATATTATTAAAAACTTACTCTCATTAACTGTGTGGCTACTCTGATATGTAAACTGCATAGGATAGGTAATGTAAATTGATTTTCTTCCTTCTCACTCTTTTATATTAATGAGTTGAAGCTCCAAAGTTAACAGATAGATTTTTTTAAGTGTTATTATGAACTCATCGATTTTTATATATTTGATGTGTTTAATCCAATGATGTTATTACTCTTTCTTTTTTATTCTTCTATTTTTCTTTTTGTCCTCACCCGAGGATATTTTTCCCATTGATTTTCAGAGAGGGTGAAAAAGGGGGCGGGGGGACATCAATGTGAGAGACACATCCATTGGCTGCCTCCTGCACATGTTCCAACTTGGGCCAGGGATTGAACCTGAAACCTGGGTACATGTGTGACCTTTACCTGGAATCAAACCTGTGACCCATTAGTGCCACACCAGGCAGGGCCATTAATTTTTTTGATGCCCCCAAATTTTCTCTATTTTTGGCCAGTAGGCATGCCCCCTTCCCAGTATGTGTGTGTATTATATATCTTTTTAGTAAGAGAAAAATCATGAGTTTATACTGATATATCTAATTCAAATGAAAGATTATAATTTTTAATATCTTTGATTTTGTATATCATTTAAAATCCTCCTTTCTAATATCAGTATTATATTATTCTATCTTATAATTTACAGAATAGCAAAACTAACAGCAAAATCACTAAATGCTGTTTAAAATTACTTTCTTATTATTTTTCTGTTTAGTATATAACCCACTAAGAAAGGGTATTCAAAAACATGCATCAGCCAAACCGGTTTGGCTCAGTGAATAGAGCGTCGACCTGCGGACTGAAAGGTCCCAGGTTCGATTCCGGTCAAGGGCATGTACCTTGGTTGCGGGCACATCCCCAGTAGGAGGTGTGCAGGAGGCGGCTGGTCGATGTTTCTCTCTCATCGATGTTTCTAGACTCTCTATCCCTCTCCCTTTCTCTCTGTAAAAAATCAATAAAATATATTTTAAAAAAACATATCAAAATCAAAATCACTAGAAATATTCTCTCTGTGGTCATATCTTTATATACTAATATGTCCTGATGGGTTTTTTTTTTTTTTTTATTTTTTTAGAAAGAGAGGAAGGGAGAAGGAGAGATAGATACATTCATGAGATCAATTGGCTTCCTCAACCCAGGCATGTGCCCTGACCGGGAATCGAACCAGTAATCTCTTGGTGCATAGAACTCTGCTCAACCAATTGAGTCACACCAACTGGGCTGCACCTTGCTTTTTTACTTTAATAGGATATCCTGGAGGTCACCTCTTAGCAGTATATAGAAAGCATCATAGTACTCCACTGCATGGGATCTATCATAAAATTACTTTTATAGAGGTTTACATTTTTTAAAGGTCATTCTGAATTTTTCATGAAAGTGACTACTTTCTCTGTTCTTTGCCATTTTTTTCTTATTTTTCAGAAAAATCGTTGCTTATATGTATTTGGTGGCCAGCGATCGAAGACCTATTTGAATGATTTCTTTAGTTATGATGTGGACTCTGATCATGTAGACATAATATCAGATGGCACCAAGAAAGACTCTGGAATGGGTAAAGGCATTTAGTAATTCTTCTCTCATGTCTTAAATACTTTATAAGGTAGACGACTGTAGCCCATTTTCTTTTCTTTCTATCCATTCCTCACCCTTTCCCCATTTCTTTAATTGAAGTAAATCTAAGAGGTCAGAAAACTTGTTTTTGTCTCTCTCTTCCAGCTAAATTTTCCAATTCTATCTGTTTAAAATATATTAATCATCATTATTTCCTTGGAGCAGAAAGATAGTATATGAATCTCTATGGGAATTTTTTGTGTGCTTATTGGGGAGGTGGGGGTTGGCAAGAATTGATATCCTAAAAACTATATTATTCTATGTTTGCTAATCCTTTCCACCTTCTACTTTCAGTATAGTAACTTACATTATGCACTAGCAAGTAGAGTCTGTCTTTGTTCTGAAGGAGGACATGTAATGGTAATGCCTTTTAAGTTTACAAATTCAGCACCCAAGAAGTTACTCTCCTCGTAATAGGGTGATTGGTTTGCCCAAGATAATCCCAGTTTTATGAAACTGCCCCATTCACTCTCAAAAGTATCCTATTTTAGATGATGCACAGTTACCCTACATCAGTGATGTCGAACCTATGACACGCGTGTCAGAGGTGACACCCGAACTCATTTTTTTGGTTGATTTTTCTTTGTTAAATGGCATTTAAATATATAAAATAAATATCAAAAATATAAGTCTTTGTTTTACGATGGTTGCAAATATGTATCAAAAAATTTCTATATGTGACATGGCACCAGAGTTAAGTTAGGGTTTTTCAAAATGCTGACACGCCGAACTCAAAAGGTTCGCCATCACTGTCCTACATAGTAGTCACTTTGCCTGTGATTAGTATACATAGGAGAATGGTATTTTTGTTTAAGGCCCAGGGGTTTAAAATGCCTGATTTGAGTAATAGGGTAAGGAATTAGAATAGCTTGCTTTTCCTTTTTGCTATTATTTATAAAAACACATTTTTAAAGTTGTAATAGTTGTTCATATTTAGGATGAAAAGGTTTTTTTTCTTTTAACAAAAGATCGCATCATTGTAAAAAAAAAAATACACATGAAATAGTTTGCCTTCAGGACCCTTCTCCCATACTTCCTACTAGCACTCTTTTTTCTGGGGAGAAATGAAATGATAAATCTCTGTGGAGGCAAAGGGGACAGAACAGAAAACAGGACAATTAAACCTATGAACTGAATAGTAAAACTTCCAACCACATCCCTGTTCCCAGAACGCCAGACATATGTCTCTGACAAAAGACTCGAATCACATTTCTGGAGGAAATGTATGGCCTCAAAGAAAATATTTCCAGATACTGTTGTTTGGGGACCGTCCACGCCAATAAAATGGCTAATCTCGCTGCCTGGTCCACTTTCACAGCCTAGTCCCTCTGTAGTGTTGTCCATGATACACATAACATTTTCAATTAACTTTTTATTTTGTCACTCTTATTAAACTGTCAGTTGAGTATCTTCCTTATTAGAACCTTCACCGTGGAAGAGAGAGAAAAACAAAACAAACCTGAAAATAGAAATCTGGAGTAATGCACTGAGCACAAGTAAATGAAAATTACAGTGATCAAGGCCAGTTTTCTTAGAGAAAGGATCTGCATCCGTAAAACTATAATAGGATGCAATGAAAAATCAGAGACTAAGAAAGAGCTTTTGGAGAATAAATTTTATTAAAATAAAAAAGTAGAAGAGTTATAAGAAAACTGAAAAATAGACAAAAAGACAGGTGAAAATTAGAGAAAATAAGGACCTTAGAAAATCAATCCAAGAGTTCCAATATTGAAATAATAAGAGATTCCCAAGCTATAGAGAACAGGAAAAATGGAGGAGACTAGATTATAAAATAAATAGCAGAAAATTTCTCTAAACATTGGCTCCAGATTATAAATGGACACCTACAGAAGTCAGTACATCAAATTTAGCAAAACAAAAGCCATCATTGTTCACTGTGGAATTTCACATATCAGGGTAAGGAGAATATCTTAAAAATTTCCAGGATAAAATGAGGTCACATTCAAAGGAATAGGACTTAGAGTGGATATAGAAATTCTCAACAACATTGGAAACTATAAGATAAGGGGAAACAAGATCTTAAAATTCGGAGGGAAAATTATCATGATCTAGATTTCTACTTATAGCCAAAACACCAATGAAGCAAGAGGGAAGAAATACTGTTTTCAAATATGTATGGTTTATCAATAGAATGTGTTTGCCTCAAGTAATAGAAAACCTAGGGAACCATGGCCTAAACATATAGGGAATTTTTTTCTCACAGAATAAGAAGTCCAAAGGTAGGTAATCTGGACTGATGCAATGACTCAAGCAATATCTTAATGGCCCCCAGGTTCTTTTAAATTGTTCTGTTTTCCATCCTTAACATGGTGATAGTCTCATGGTGGTAAGTTGACTGATGCACCTCAAACAGTGCCCTCATTTTAAATAGGAGAAAAGGAAAGAAAGCAAAACTTGCCCAGAAAGCTCCCTGTGAAACCTGGCTTCAAGAGAGTCTGGGAAGGCAAGTGTTTAGCTTTTCCAGCCTGTATTTATGTAGTACACTGGGGAAAGGGTTTGGAAATGGCTATTAGATCAGACAATCAAAAGTGTCTGCCACACAAGAATAAAACATGATAGATCTGCCCTGGCTGGTGTGGCTCAGTTGGTTGAGCATCGAACTGAAAGGTCACAAGTTCAATACCTGGTTAGGGCACACACCTAGGTTAGAGTTTTGAACTCAGGTTGGAGTATATACAGGAGGCAAACGGTTGATATTTTTCTCTCCTCCTCCCTTCCTCTCTCTAAAATCCATTAAAAATTTTTTTAAATTATAAAGAGCGAGGATTTGAAGTTTGAGTGCAAATAAAGTCATCCCTGCCCCTTCTTCCCCTTCCTCACCCCGATTCTAAGTGAGCTGTTTCCTAGGATTAAAAGAAAAAAGTGGCAAAGAGTAATAGTGGTAGAGAATTAGTAAAAGAATAAATAAGAAATTTCACTGTCATAAGTAGGCTTTAATGACTGTCATTTGAAGATTTAAAAAAATAGTATAATCCTTCATTCATAGTTATGACTAGACTTAGAGCCATCAGAGTATAATAATTGTTTGGTTTTTTAGTTCAATTTTGTTTTGATTATAAAAGTAACATTCTCATTGTAGATAATTTGGAAAATATAGAAAGATGCAAAAAAGAAAATATATCAAACCATCCAGATGTAATCTGTTAACATTTTTATGTAGTTCCTTCTACTCTTTTTAAACTTATTTATTGTACAAAATTTAGTACAATTTTATTCTGTTTTTACATTTTCATTGAATTGACTTTTTTCCATCATTATAATTTTATTATCCTGGACTAGAGGTATTAGTAGAAAAGACAAGAAGATTCATTTTCTAAATTACTACTATAATCAACTTTTGTGAAATCAGAATCACCAATTTTGCTATGCGTTAATTTTTAATTTATGGTGCATTATCCCACCATACAAACCCCAACAATTTTTTTGTTAAAAACGTTTCTTTTTCAGACTAATTTTTTTATTTTGGTTCTATATAGTATTTTTGATGCTGGTTATGAAAACAGTTTGTAACTCGTCTTCCTATAAACCATATTTTTTTACCATATTTTCTTAGTATACTCGTCGACGACTGAAAAAGAACATTTTGTGAAAACGAGTATACACGTTTCTGCCGGGGAAGGGGTTAATTCATTAATTTAATAACCTTTGTTAGCATCTAAGTTTGACCCTCTCCATTCCTCCTTCCCAACATAATTCAGTACCTTTATATGCCAGGTGTGTTTTATGGATTGTATGTTATAAGATCCCTTCTCAAAAAGAATTCACATTGTAGTGGAGAGAAACATGCAGTTGCCTTCTATGTACTGTGAACTAAAAAAAATTGAATGTTATGATAATGAGTAACATGGGAAGTCCCATTTAGGTAGAGTGGGTTGGAAAATCATCTCTGAGGAAGTAATCTTTAAGATTTAAAACCAGAAGTAGAGAATTAGGAAGAACCATGTTAAGAACTGAGAGAAAAGCAAGTACAAAGGTCCCAAAGCAGGCAAGAATGTAGCATGTTCTAGAAACAGTTGGGGCTGGTGCAGATTGAGAGTGGGAAAAGTTGGTATGAAATGACGTTGAAGAAATAGTTGAGTCTGATTATTCAAGGCCTTTTACAAATGCAAGAACTTTAGATTTTTTTTCTAAAAATAAGAAGTTATTGAAAGGCTTAATTACAGAGTCTTGATCTAATTTAGGTTTTGAAAATGTCACTCTTTTGTCTACATACAGAATGGTTAATTTTGTCAGTATGCTGATAAATTGAGTTGTGCAAAGGCTGTATGTATGATGGATGCCTTAACTGAAGTTTTTATGGCAGAATTGATCAGTTAGAACTTCTGTACTTGGGAAATTTTCCCAACTAAAACTTTTCAGTTATACTTGGAATTATGGAACCTTAATGGTTCTGTTGGCATATTAGGAAACTGAAATTCTCTTTTTTTATTTTTTCCCATCTCTTTTACTCCATCCCATCCCTCCTTTCTCCCTTCTCTCCTTTTCTTCCTTCCATGCTTTCCTTTCTTCCTCCTTCCCATCTTCCTGTCCCTCTCTCCTCCTTTGCCTCTCTTCCTTCTCATTTTTCCCTTCTCTTTTAGTTTCTTCCCATTCCCCCCTTTCTCTCTCTGTTTCCGTCTCCCACCCGAGGAGCTTTTGATATGTGGCCAGGATTGAAAACCACTGTCTTCAGAGCCTATCTCAGTCCTTAGTCAAAGTAACCTTGAGTAAATTACTTAAAGTCTCAGCCTTAGCTTGCATGTCTGTAAGTGACCAAAATTGCATTTCAAGGAAAATAGTGTCCCTGCTCATGGCAGGGTAGAGATGGGTTGACCCTCTAGTTTAAACTGGTGTTAATTTGGGTACCTCAGTTTTCACAGGAGTATGTCAGTACTACCTAAGGTCAGTACTATCCAGTAATCAAGTCATGTCAGTTTTACC